CCCTCTGCTGCTTCCTCAAGAACCTGCCCAACTTTCTCCTGCCCTGCCCACTTCATCTGACACCTGTGAAGAATAGCTGCTGCTGTTCTGCTCTCCTCGAGTTCTGCCTCAGTAAGCTTCTTCCTGATGACAAAAGCTGCCTGGAAGGTCTCCCTTTGCTGGTGACCCAAGATAACATGCTGAGGTGCTTCACTCAGCAGTGTCCTCCATACCATAGCAGTGTGCACAATCTTTTCCCACACCGTCAGGACTGTTTCTTTCGCTGCCGAATTGATGGAGAGGCCAGGCAGCTATTAGTAAATATGGGGTTCCTAAAGGATTTTACACTCTCTAATTCTGTGGCCTTCGTCAAGGAGGTGCTGTCTTTGGACAACAGGGTCAGTACTGATAAAGGCCGGGAATGGCTCCGTGAATTGTGGGCTTTCTTTGAGAACCAGATCTGCATGACTGCGAAATCGGACACGATGAAAAAGATGTTTGCGGAGCTAGTTTCCCTCTTCAAAGGTTGTGCCATGCTCCCTGTGTGTTGTGGCTGCACTAAGTTCTTGGTTCCCCTTGAGTCCCTCAACACAATAATGCCTGGTCAAGCAGGCCCTGTTACTGAAATTCTCTGCAAACTGGGCTTTTCCAAGTTGGACTCCTCTCTTTTGCCTCCAAAGCTCGCTGCACATTGCATTCTGCCATGTGTGTTGCAGATTGAGAATCCTACAGTAGTGCTCGAACAACTGGCAGCTCATCATGACCTGTGTTGGGATGCACTCGAAGGGTGGGACTTTGAAGCGCTGTTGCGGTTCCTAAGCAGCCAACTGGAGACGCTGAAGAATGACCATGGATTGCTAAGCAAGTTGAAATCCTTGCCTGTGTTTAAAACACACCAAGGGAAGCACGTTTCGTTGGCTTCGTACGGGAATATCTACATCTTGGAATCAAAGATTCCAAAGGAAACCAAGAAATTCCAGGAGCTTTATGAGGTAGATGAGAAGACTGTCCTGCTGAGTGATAGCTTGCTGAACCGACATCTCAGTAAGAGCTTGAATATTGGTGTAATGAACGATTTGCAGCAGTTTGTAAAGCAGCTTTTGCCTCGGCTGTCCCATCTCCCCGAAGCTCGTGTACTGGAGGCTGTGAGATTACTCCTCCTTATCAAGAGGCATTATCCTGAGGAATATCAGGCCGAGAAAAAGACAGTGGTGACAACATTCCAGTCTTTCGCCTTCATCCGGGACAAGCAAGGTGTGATGCGTCCTGTGTCCTACTTTTATGAGGAGAAAATGTGTTTCAAGGAGTTGAGAATGGATTCTCTGTTCGTGCCACGCAAATTCTATGACGCAGTGTGGCCAGAGAATATATGGGAGTTGAAAGAGTTCTTACTTGATGTGGGCTTGCAGCAAGAGATCTCTGAGGAATACTTTCTAGTGTTGGCTACCCAAATTGCAAAAGAAGCATTGAGGGCTGGAGAACAGAAGGATGGTGCCCATGATCTTGATAAAAGGAGGAGAGCACTCTGGAGCTACTTGCTTTCCAGTGAAAACTTCTCAGAGGCCTTCCTGGAAACAGTGTTCAAGATCCGTTTCCTATTGCCAAAGAAGATCTCTGAAGATCTGTGTTGCCTTCACTCGCCATACGTGCCGTGTAATACTCCTGTGGCACCCCACGGTTCCTTGTTAACTGTGAAAGCAGACCTGGTGTGGACTTCAGCGGTCATTCTGCCTTCTGTTCTATATGTTGGGGAAAATAAAGAAACCATCCTAAAACAACTGGGAGTGCTGCGCACCTTGCCAGCCCATTTAGTCTTGGAGAATCTAAGAAACGTATGCCAGGCACCATGTAACACTCCGAAAGCTAGGAAAACTCGAGAGGATGTCCTAAAGTCAGCTTATGGCTATTTGTCGCAACAGCAAATGTTAGAGACTGCCTGCTTAAAGGGATTCCCTGTGATATTAGTGGATGACGGTGAGGTAGCAGAGGCCCAGAATGTGGTGGTCTCATTAAAATACCCAAAGGACTTCCGGCCGTATCTTTACAAGCTACCACCAAAGCTAGCTGTCTATATGGATGTCCTGGAGAAATTGGGAGTGGAAGCTGAGGCAAGCATCCATCACTATGCCAGTGTTCTGGCCAGAATTCATGCAGAGACTGTAAGGCAGGCTAAACTGCATGCCAACCTCACCAAAACAGTGCTCAGGGCCACTCAGTTCCTCTTCCAGCTCTTAGATGAAGCAAAGGATCAAATGGATTTCTCAGAGCTGAAAGAACTGCATCTGCCTTGTGCTGATGGGAAGCTATATCCATCAAACAGCCTCATCTTTAGTTTATACAAGTATAGCCAGGAACCCCAGGACTTGCAGTGCAAATTTCGCTTTCTGATAGATCTCTCAATATGTGAGCTACCTTACGACAAGTATAAGCAGCAGAGGCTTCTGCATCGGCTGCCTGAAGCCTTGCGCCCCAAGAACTTGTCAGATATCACTGAAGAGCAGCTGGAAGAGTCCTCTCTGAAACTCTGTACCTATGGGGAACACTGTGAGTTCCAAAACTGGCTACAAGAACTACTCATGTCTTGCGAGTTCCAGCATGCTCTGGTTGCACTGCTTAAATGGCAGGGTGGGACAAAAGTAGAGGAAGTGGAATGCATGTTTGAAGGACGCTTCTCACCAGAGCGGCTAGAAGTGGTTTGTTGTGAAAAAGTGTGCACAACCTTGGTGCACAATTCGCAGAGTGTGGAAGGAACCCAGTGTGCCAAGACAGTGTATGCTGCAACAATGCCAGATGGCAAACTGCAGCTTTACCTTGCACACCAGGAGAGCAAAGGTCCACAGTGGGCTGTGGAGTTCTCTGGCAATTTAGCCACAGAACTGAATAGGCTTTTAGGACAAAGATTTAGCCCGTGGGACCTGATGGTCCTTGGGCAGATTTTGGTTTGCCAAAGGCCTAAGGAAATTGCTGAGGTGCTAGAGAAAAACAAAGTGCCCTTGCAGCTGCCAGCAAACCTAAATGCCTATATCCTGCCTCCTCCTGGAGAGGACATCCCTGAGGAATGGTATGACAGCCTGGACATGAGCATCCTCCACACCTTTCTGCCAGAAGATTACGTGGGTTACCTGGATTCTTCCAAGCCCAGAGAGCATTACCTCTACGCTGTGGTCCTTGAAGCCCTTGGGCCACGGCAGAGCGGTACTGGCCAAGTACACACATACCTTGTTGACTTGGGAGGAGGGCGGCATGCAGAAGTCAGTGCCTATGACCTTTACCATTTCCGGAGGAATAACTCTGCATCTGATCTGAGTAAAGCTGTGGTCTTGGCAGAAGGCTCCCCTGGTGCTAGCAGTACTGCAAGACCACTTACAAGCGGCAATTGGTACGAGAGGCCACTGAGTGAGATAAAGAAAGAAGTGGATGCCTGCTTGGCTGAAATTTGGAGCTTGTCAGAGGATGAGAGGAGGAAGGCTTTAAGAAGACTCTATCTGTGCTACCACCCAGATAAAAACATAGGTCAAGAGGATTCTGCCAATGAAATTTTCAAATACCTTAAAGACAAGATCAAGGAGATGGAGAACAATAGAACGCCCAGTGGCTCCAGAGGGGGACCCAAAAGTAGAGGTTCCTACAAGAGGAGCTCTGAATTTTGGGGTGAATGGGACCAGCAAGCTCATCAGCATCAAGAGAGGCGTACAGAATTCACCAGGCAAAGATGGGGTGGGGGTGGAGGAGGATGGGGTGGGGGTGGAGGAGGAGGCCACTGCAACTACAACTTCTGGTCCTTCCATCAGAGAGGGCCAAAGTATTCAAAGAATCAATCAAAACTTCACTGCTTGGAGGAGGCCAGGCGCTGGCTAAGGCAAGCCAAGTGTGATCTGAAGGCGGCAGCCAGTAATGTAGGTCAGGGTAGCACTGAATGGCTGCTTTACAAGACTTACCGGGCAGTGGAGAAAGCCCTGACAGCAGTTGAATACTACCAGGGAGGTCGCTTTGACAGGAATCTGACTCTTCCAATGCTGGCTAGTAAGGTAGCTTCTTATGGACATGAGTTGGAAAAGCTGCCTGATCAGATTGAGGAACTCCGGCAGCATGGCGTGGATGACAAGAGAACGCAGTATCCCAGCTACCACAATTCACCCACCATTCCCAATGAAGCTTTCCTTAGATGCAAGGAGAAGGAGGTGCTGCTTTTAGCTGGAGATATCCTAAGCGTGGTGAAGAAGTGGATTGGCCTAGAATGAGAGTTGTGAGGATTTTTTTGTTTAAAGTCTTGACTGACAATATATAAACATGGGCATTCTTGTAGCTGAAACATTTGGGATCAAATATTATAAAATGGGAGCGGGGCCTATTTGGAAAATTGATGTCTCTTCAAACAATTCCTAACTCACTAACACTGTATCATGTGAGAAAACAGGACTAGATAACCATTCTTGAACAGTGACACTTTGTTACCTGTCTTCTGATATACAGAAAAAATAAAGTTGCTTTGTTGAGAAATAATGAAGCTAAGTTATATGCTTACGTTGTACAAGCTGTGGCAGAGATGGGGAACCAATGACAGCCCCCCCCCCCAGTAGGAAGCTGCTGTATACAGAGTCAGACCGTTGGTCAGTGCAGCTCAGTACAGTCATACCTTGGATCCCAAACACCTTGCAAGTCGAACGCTTCAGCTCCTGAACGCCACAAACCCAGTAATGAGTGTTCCGGTTTGCAAAGATTATTTGGAACCCGAACGTCTGATGCGACTTCCGCGGCTTCCAATTAGCTGCAGGAGCCAAGATTCTGAAGGGGTCAGAAACTGCATTTGTAAAATGCAGTACCTTTTCAGGGCTCAATTTAAATATCAATATGGAATCATCACTTAACACAACCACTATTTACTTTTATTAATGAATTCCCACCCTACTTTGTAAAAACAAAACCCTAAGTACACAAGGCTACACTACTCAAAACCAACATAGTACAAAATACAATGAAAATTCAACCTTTCAAAAGTAAAAATAACAATACAGTCAAACCTCGTTCTGCGTCTGCCTCCGCTTGTGTCCGCTTTGGCGAACGTCCGCGGCAAGCCTGGAAGTACCAGAACAGGTTACCTCTGGGTTTGCGGCTCACATAGAAGCTCTAAATCGCACCGTGCATGTGCAGATGTGGCGCTTCGACGTGCATCATTTTCAGGTTGTGGTGGGGCCTCCAGAACAGATCCCTGCCGTAACCCAAGGTTCCACTGTAAAACCAACAGCAGTTAAAAAATATATAAGTTTTCAGGCAGATCACACAATAAAATGCTGAGTAGGAGTACATTAAGGAATGCTTAAAGGGAGGATGTCACCTGGGAGAAACAGGTTTTTTTTAATGCTACTGAGCAGCGGTATAGAATCAAAGGGTATTAGCTATCCTTGCTCAATTAACCTGGAGTAAATACATGTTGTTTTGTGTAGCAAAAGTGCCAATTGCCTCTGGTTTTGAGAATGTAGTTAGAGAACAAAATGATGAGAGTTCACCTTCAAAGGACATTCAGTCTCTGATTACTCCTGGATTCAGTCACAAAACTATTGTTTCTCCTGATGAAATGAGTGTTGGTAGTAAGGAAATATAGGTATATAAAAAGGAGAATTCCTGGATGCCATGATCAAGAGGTTTGAAATCACAAAACATGCAGCAAAGTAAAATGTGGAAATAGAGGTGGTTAAACCTTTAAAATATGCCCTTAATTTAAAGTGAGTTCCAAAATGTCTCCTCAAGATGTTTTTTTCCAAAGTTGCGCTCTTTTCCTAGCGTAGAAAAAGAACACATGTTTGATAAGTTTAAAAAAATGGTTTACTTACAAACTCTCCAAAGGTCAGATTAATGTACTTTTCCCATAAAGCATTCAGAAAAAGTTGCACAGTCAGTAAAACTTAACTTGACTTACAATGGTGAAAATCCTAAATTATTGGTATAGGAACTCAAGAGTAGCTTGTAAGAGCCATAGGGTCTGAGCTACAGCAACCAACTCAGACCTCACATGCCGAGTTCATCAGGTAGACTGGAGGTTGAACCATATGATTGATTACCCAGTCCCTCCCAAGGTTAAGGACAGCTTGCTTTATGATCTCAATCCTTTTGTGTATTAATTAGACTTGGTTGTATGAGGCTGGTTATCTCACAAAGATCATGTACAGATCTAACAGCCATCATTCATTTTTTTGTGATGTGGCTACAAATGACATGTTGGCTTGACCTTGAAGACTATTGAACTAACAGGTTACCAGAAAAAAGTGCACCAATTTCCAAATTCTGCAAAAGGCCTCCAGCCACAATTCAAGATGCTAAATAGCTTAGGTCCAATAGAGTTTAGAGAACACCTAAGGATTTAGGAAACTGTTTTATGCTGAGTCAGACTACCATGCATTGTCCACACTGACTAACAGCAGCTATGCAAGGTTTCACATGGGACATTTTCATCCCTGCATGAGGACTGAAATGGGACCTTCTGCATGCAAAGGGGATGCATTACCACTGAGCTACTATAGCCCTTCCCCTCTTGCACCCTGTCCCACCAAGATACCTTAAGATCAACTGAGAGTGCGCTCATAACACAATCCATGGAACTGCACTGCCTTCGAGACTCACCTGACAAAGCATGTTTGTTTGTGTGTTTTAAAAAGCAACATAAATACAGTGGTACCTCGGGTTACATACGCTTCAGGTTACATACGCTTCAGGTTACAGACTCCGCAAACCCAGAAATAGTACCTTGGGTTAAGAACTTTGCTTCAGGATGAGAACAGAAATTGTACTATGGCGGCGCAGCAGCAGCAGGAGGCCCCATTAGCTAAAGTGGTGCTTCAGGTTAAGAACAGTTTCAGGTTAAGAACAGACCTCCGGAACTAATTAAGTACTTAACCCGAGGTACCACTGTAGAAGCTGCGAGGGGGTTGGAGTGGAGACACAATAAAGCAAGCAAGGGAGTACAGTGGCACCTTGGTTCTGAAAAGACTTAATTGCCGAACAAATCGGCTCCAGAATGCCGCAGACCCGGAAGTAAGTGTTCCGGTTTGCAAACGTTTTTCAGAAGCTGAACATCGGAGCAGCTTCTGCTTGAGTGCAGGAAACTCCTGCAGCCAATCAGAAGCTGTGCCTTGGTTTTTGAATGGTTTTGGGAATCAAACAGACTCCCAGAATAGATTAAGTTCAAGAACCAAGGTACCACTGTCTAAATTTTACTTAAGTGTTTAGAAATTTTCTTTATTGCTTTATATGCAAAAGTGATATACAAAACAGATTAATACGAAAGTATATATTAATAACAAAATGAAAACATGTAAAAATTACATTATACCATTTAAAAATCAACACTGACTGGGCAGTGATTGATTTTTTTTTTAATGAGTCTTTTTCACTGTCAGCCATTCTAAGTTGTCAGGATAAATTGTGCTGTAAATTTAATTTAATTAAAATATGAATAGATTAGAACAGAACTTTCCCCCTGTTTTAAACATATTTGCATTGTTCTGGCATACAAGCTGCTTCAGCAGAACATTGATTGATTGATTGATTGATTGTATTTATATTCCACCTTTTTCTCCAAGGAGCTCAAGGTGGAGACCCAGGATTGATGTTTCTGGCAGTAGCCCTGCAATCTGTTCTCCCTTCTACCTTAATCAATCCCCACAACAACCTTGCTAGGTAGACTGGGCTGAGAGGTAGTGACTGGCCTAAGGGCATCTTCATGGCTGAATGAGGATTTGAACCCTAGTCTCCCAGGTCCTAGTTGCTGACACTAACCACACTGGCTCTCCATTTGAGAACCTTATTAGTAAAGTGAAAATTATGTATAAATGGATTCTGACTGTGAAAGCCTGACCCTTATTGCAATAATTTCCTACTCCCATATTCACCTAGCTAAGGTGAATTAACTTAATTTCCCTGCCCCATTATGACAGGCAGAAATTGCCTCACAGAATTATAATGGCATAAGGAGCCTCACCTGTGGAGTTTCTGTCAGCATAGGGGGGTGACAAATTACGGCTCTTTCCGCTGTTGAAGCCTTATAAATCTGTGAGTGATGCAGAAACACTGCAATTACTTACCATTTGAGTTTTTCAAGAAGAGACTAAAATATGGGATCCCCTCAGCCCCCCTCCTTCCTTACCTCATCACTGATTTCCTGCTCTTACTTTTCTCCTCACAATAAATAATGGTGCTTCTCTGACCACGCGAACGATTTGGTTTTGTTTTAGTTTATGCATTTCAAAACGAAAATTTGGCGCCTCCCTGAGTGTCAAAAATGACCTTTAATCTTCTTTGCCCACATCAAATATGGCGGCTGCATTGGATGGTGCGGGGAAGTTGCCGTAGTAACAACAAAGACAAGTCCCTTCGTTCAGCTCTTCGCTTACTGCCCGGCGCAAACATGGCGGCCTCGCTGCACTTCCCTTTGCCAGTAAGAAAGATGGGTGCTTTCCATCGTTTTCGCGCTTCCCCTCCCTTCTAACCAATAATAATAAACTTGTTTCTTACACTAAAAATACCAAGACTCTTGTTAGTATGGCCCTGAGATTGTGCAGAACGGTGCTGTGAATATCAGTACATATCACACCTTTGAGCCGGCTGCCCACATAAAAAATGTCGCTTCACCGAGCCTCCATTGCTTGCCCACAGTAAAGATGGCGAAGATGCGACCGTTGTTACTCCTCCCTCCTTGCCCACAGAAAAGATGGGGGCGGAGTGGGGGGTGGGGTGTCCTGTGAACTTCCATAGGGGTTGGATTTGAGGGTGGAGAGGACAGGCTATCGCAAGAGGTCAACACCCCACCACCAGCCTGGCTGCTTGCTGCTATGGGAGGTTGGGGGCGGGGGAGAGGCTCTGTCCCCTTCCTCCGAAGAAGTGGCCCCCCACCGCCCCGTAAAATGTCGGCACCTATAAGAAGTTGTGAGTACCGGGGAGGTGGGTGGGGAGCAGAAGGGGAGGGGGGAGGGATTCCCCTTAGACTTTGGGGGGGGGTGGAAACACAGGGGAGAAACAGACCCACCCTTCACCCACCTCGTGATTGACACCTTGGCACTGGCCGCCTCTGTGCCTGAGCCAACTGGGTCATGCAGGTGGGATAAAGAGGCCAAGAAGGAGAGACGAGGGGGGGGGCGCCTGGGTTCTTTAGGGAGGGGGCAGACACAGTTAGGGTGGTGGGTCATTGCTGGGAAGTGCTGGGAGCCAGAACTCATGGGTTCTGTAAGGGTGCCTATTCAAGATCACTTAAGGCAGGTTAGTTCTCGGTAACACCTTATTTCAAGTACAAATCCCCAGGGATCAGCTTTTTTTTATTGTTCATTAAACTATGCAAAGGAGAGCATTGTAACATCATATCCGGACCCAAATTCTTTACATTTCTGTCAACTACTGGAATGTTATGTGCCCGAGCTGGGGAGGGAGGGTGGATGATTAAACCTCATAAACTGAACCTAATTAGAGAACAAGTCAACAATATAAAATTGCCAGTGATTTTAAATTAAAAGGAAGGATTTAATTAAATAGGATTCAGTAACCTGATACATCAGTAGGAAGTTCTGAACATTAGGAAGCGGTATGTGCTATATAGAATGTTACGATAAAGTAATAGTAATAAGTAGTATGGGGGCTTGTTTTAAGATATGAACAAGCATTAGTGTTGATTGCAGTACATATTTAAAAGATAAAGCTGGATATTTAGGTGTAGACTTTTTCCATGTACAACTGTGTATTATTAGTGTGATACATGGCTGTCATGGTTTATGTTTTTCTACCTATCAAGTGTCTTTTATATGGATTATGTATTTATAGAAATAATTATAAGAAGGAAATAAAACAAGTTATCCTTAGCATCTTTTTTCCTCTACTTATAGTCAGTCAGGATAAATGGGTTAATGTCTTCCACAATGTACAACTGATGTGGGAGTACACTCATTAACAACTTGGATTTCTGGAACCTGAGCAGTAGTAGTTATTCTGAATTAATTAACAGAATGCATAAGCATGTGGTCTTGTTATGCAGCCAAGGAAGGAAAGTGGAATCCGTGATGCTTGGTCTTTTGGGCTTTCTGGCAATGGGACACTTGCTTCCAAGAGGGAATACATGGCTTAACTTCCTTCTGTCTTTTCTGCTACCTCAAGCAAGATTACTTCACAACTGGCAGCATCGCAGTAACAATTAAGCTTTCACCTAAATATTACTTTAAGTGCAAATTTAAATCCACCTACAATTTTGGGACAAATTTCTGTTTATAGAATCATAGAACTGTAGTGTGGAAGAGACGCCGAGTTGGCTGTTGGGTTGCTGGGCATGCATATCAACATCTTTTGTGCCAAGTGTGGCTGAAAGTCAGGACTTTGGGGTTGGGGTTGGGGGGGGGAGCTAGGAGTTTAGGACAGAATGGCTTCACACAGATTTGGGGGACTTCCGGGTACTTTGGAAAGGGATGGCTTCACTTCTAGTCTCTAACCTTTTAAACACAATCCTAGGTCTCACTGACTACCCCAAAATAAGCTAGGACCCCCCCCCCATTTCATTCAAATAAATTCAAGGGATGCATGTTTCTGAGTGTGCTACATTTCTCTGCTGCAGAAAATAGTGAGTGGGCTTCTTATTATCCCTGTCCAGTATCTTTAGCTGCAATCCTATACATGCTTTCCTGGGAGTGAGATTTATTGGACTTAATGGGACTTCCATCTGCGGAGTGATCTTTACAGTTGTGCCCTTTATCCTCATCTCATTTATGCACATATCAGCTCAGTGAGACCAATTAGGTTGAGAGTCCAGACCGTGATTCCCCCCCCCCCAAGGTCAGCCTAGCCATTGTCACCACTAGCTGGGCACAGATCCAGATCTGGAAGATTTCCCACATCCAAACCTAGTACAGTGGGACCTCGGTTTTCGAACGTAATCCGTTCTGGAAGTCCGTTTGACTTCCAAAACCGAGGATCAAAGGGCAAGTTCAATGGGGGAAATTGACAAACACGCCTCGGAAGCTGTTCGACTTTGGAGACACGCTCAAAAACGGAAGCAGCTACTTCTGGGTTGTCGGCGTTTGGCTTCTGAAACATTCGGCAGCCGAGACGTTCAACAACCACGGTTGACTGTACTGTCTGCCACCCTCTGTCATCTTGTGCAATTGAAAAGTTTTGAGAATTACCCAAATCCTTTGACTCACTTCCTATTTCTGGAAGCAAAAGCTGTAAGCTGAACCTTATTTGAACCAAGCCATGGCGCATTGTGTATTATCCACTGACTACACGAAGAGCCATTTTCACATACATGCAGATTCCTAAGATTCCTGTCTTGGCATCTTGGAGAGGTGTGTGCTCCGCAGGCACCTTCTGTGCTAGGCTTGATTGATTGATTGATTGATTGATTGATTGATTGATATGTATATGCCACCACTCCTCCAATATGCTCAAGGCTGCATGCATGGTTCACTTCCTCTCCATTTTATCTTCAGCTGAGAAACAGCAACTAGACCAAGGTAACCTAGTGAGTTTCATAGCTGAGTGGGGATTTGAACCCTGGTCTCTCACAGTTCCTAGTCCAACACTCTAACCACTACTCCACACTGGCTCCCTGTTCTGGATAGTGTGGTTTAATCAGGGGTAAGGGAATGCTTTTATACTGGGAGGGCTCGGCGGCCATGGAGTCCCACTCTGATTCTTTCACTGTCCTTTCTCTGTCCCGTAGAAGCACTGTTGGGTAGATGGAGAACTGCGATGAAGAGTGGCCAGAGGGCCAGCACTCCCTTCAGGCCCCAGGTGGGGTCCGGGCTACCACCGGAACCGTGGAAGAGTGTGCCGTTCTCTACTCGGACGCGGAGGACGACCCGTCGCTCCTAACAGACCATGGGCCGGGTGCCCGGGCCCCTTTCCACTGCTCCGAGTGCGACAAGAGCTTCCGTTACCGCTCGGACCTGCGCCGCCATTTTGCCCGGCACACCGAGCTCAAGCCTTTCCAGTGCCCTCACTGCGTCAAGAGCTTCAAGCATTCCTTCAACCTGGTGAACCACATCCGGAGCCACACCGGGGAGCGCCCCTACCGCTGCACCATGTGCCCCAAAGGCTTCCGAGACTCCACGGGGCTCCTCCACCACCAGGTGGTGCACACGGGGGAGAAGCCCTACTGCTGCCACGTCTGCGAGCTCCGCTTCTCCTCCCGCAGCAGCTTGGGGCGCCACCTCAAGCGGCAGCACCGCGCTTCCCCCGCTGCCGCAGCCCCTCAGACGCCCGCCCCGCGCTGCCTGGCCTGCGGGAAAGAGCAGAGTCCCCTGGGGCACCTCTGCAGCGCCGGGCGAGGCCGGGCCGCGCCCTTTGGCTGCGGGGCCTGCGGGCGCCATTTCCAGTTGGCATCCGAACTGCGGCGCCATTGGCTCGCCCACACTGACATCAAGCCCTTCAAGTGCCCCGACTGTGAGCGGGACTTCAACGCTGCAGCGCTGTTGGAGCGCCACAAGCTCACGCATGCCAAGGACAGGCCCCCGCCCTGCCCAGTGTGCTCTGGGAAGGTTCCGCCAAGCGATGGGATGCTGGAATTGCGGGGCCTGGAAGAAGAGTCGAGAGATGGGGGGCCAGAGGCCCAGCAGCACAGCAGGGGCTGCCCCACCTGCCACCCTCCGGACATGCGGCCCCCCGAAACGCTGTACCAGTGTGAATGCGGGACCTTTTTCGCCAACGGCAACACCCTGGCGGCTCACTTGACTGCTCACGGCGGCGAGCCCTCCTTCAGCTGCGGGATATGCGGCCAGCCCTTTGTGAACTTGCAGACACTGGAGGAGCACCAGCTGAGCCACGCCGTGGCTGCTTCCCCGATGTCAGGCCCCGGCAGTGAGCTGGAACGCCACCTGTTGCCGCAGCTGGACCTCCGCGCATTCCCCGCCCGGCCCAGCAAGAAACTCTACAAATGCAGCGAGTGCGAAAAGTACTTCCGCAGCCCGCGGGACCTGGACCGCCACGTCTTGGTGCACACCGGCGAGAAGCCCTACCAGTGCACCGAGTGCGGCAAGTTCTTCCGGCACGAGTGCTACCTGAAACGGCACCGGCTGCTGCACAGTGGCGAGCGCCCTTTCAAGTGCACCGTCTGCCACAAAGGGTTCATCACCTTGAGCAACCTCTCCCGCCATCTCAAGCTGCACCGCGGAATTGACTAGGCGGGGAGCCCCCTTTTCAGAATAAACACCCTCCCCTCCCAACGCTGCTTTCCTCTACCTCCACCCTGCCAGAGGCGATCTGGTTTCGGAGGTGTCACTCTGCCCGATGCGGCTAGAACTTTGATTTCCCCGCCCTCTTTGTAGGGCAGGAATTTACAATTGTGAGCTGATAGAAAAGTATTATTGTTGTTATTATTATTATTATTATTATTTTACTAATGTTCCACTACTGTTGGTAGAGTACATTGCACTTGCTTGACCGTTATAACGTCTTCGGTGGGTTGGGGGTAGGATACCTGGCTGGT